GAAAGTGATTTGATTTACATTTCAAAAAGCTTCCTCTGGCTGGGAGTGGCAGCTCCCGAGGCAGGGGGCTCCTGCTGGTGTCCAGGCCAAAGATGAGGAGACTGGCCTCGGACAGTTGGCAGCTTTGGGGCTTAGAAGGTAAAATGGATTGGCTTTGGGGGTGGGCTAGATGTGGGTAGGGAGTAAGCTCTGAGTGGAGTGAGGGGGCCCCGGTTTCCCTGGCTTGGGCCAGAAGCCCTGTAGGGGAGTGATTGGGATGGGGAGGGCGGCTGCGGGGGTTGGGGGGGGTAGGAGTCAGGCGGGAACAGGAGACCTCCCAGCTCTGTGGCAGCAGGGCCTGCCTCCAGGAGTGCCTCCCCCGCCCAAGCTGGACCCGATTCAGCTGTCACTCAGGAAGGCCAGGGCTCTGAAAGGCCCCCAAAGAGCGGGTGATTTGTGCAGGCCTGGCCGGCCCATTGTCCCGCTGGGATTCTGGCTTTGCCAAGAGTAACAAAGAGCTCAGCAAAGAACTGGCTCTGGGCTTGGTGTGTGTGTGTCAGGGTGGGGGTGGAGAAGGAGGGGGGAGCGGGGGAGGGGCTCACCTCAGGCCCAGGCAGGGCCCAGGGTGTTGCTTTCAGCTTTTTTCTCAGGCGTGTGTGGGTCTGTGGGTGTTTGATCATGTGTGCACATACCTCTAAACTGTGCATAGCCACTTAAGTGTACTCGTGAACACGTGTGCATTGTGCATCTCTGTGTGCGTGCATCTGAGTGCCCTGTGGACGCATTTGGGTATCTCCATACATCCACGGGCATTGGATATTCTTTGTCTGCCTCCAGATCCACTCTCCACCCTGCTCCGTGCGCCCCAAGGAGCCTGACCCCGGGAGCACATCATCCAGACTCCAGGTTGACTTCTAGCTGGCTTCGGCCAAGGGGAGGCCCAGCCAGCAGATCAGAGGGCAGGAGCCGGACAGGTTGGCTCCTTCCCCATCAGGCTGTGGATTGACAGTGACTGTGGTCCAATCCGACTGCCACAATTTCTGTTGGGCGGTCCTCTGCAAAGCTGCATGTGTCTCCAGCTCCCACGATTGCTCCTTTTGCTGACCCTTCAGGCCTAGGATTGACAGCCTGGCTCCCTGCTATTGCTAGGCCCCCAAGTGCGTCTCTACTGCTTTTCAGTTTCCCTTCACCTTGCCCTCACCTTTGTAAATGGCCCCTTTATTAAATTTTTCTCACCTGTTTGAGTGTGCCTACTCTTTCTTCCTGGGCTCCTGACTGAGACAGCAGGTGCATACATTTGGGCACCTGTGCACACGTGCATACTACATCTCTTGGTAGGGCTGTACCTGGATGGACATGCATGCATGTCTGTGTGTATTTGTGCACATGTATGCATGTGCTTTGTACATGTGGGCATCCTTGTGTGTGCACATGTGACCATTTGTGAATAGGGGCACATAACATGTATGCCCAAGTGGGTATATGCACACGTGTGCAGTTTTTATTGTGTTTCTGCATATCCATGGGAGTGTATTTCAACTGTGTTTGGTGTTTTTGGGTGGGAATGATTGTGAGTGGCTTTGAGTGTGTGCTGGCAGAGCCACAACATGAAGGAGACCTGATGGTAACACGCACAGGCTCCTCCTACAGGCTCCCAGGCAGCCAAGGATCACAAAGTAGCTCCTCCCTCAGGGCCTCTTAAGAAGTTTTGCCCGCCCAAAGGGACCTGCTCCCAGGAGTTCAGCTTATTTTGTTCAACGAACTTCGCTGGGGTGCCCTCGCTGCCTCCCTCATAACACCCTGGGTACCTCCTCCCTTTTGCCAGGCCGGGGGAGGTGACCTCCTCTGGCTGCAGTCTCTCAGCACCTCAAGTCAGATGCAGCATCAGACAATGTTCAGAGAGCAAGACCCACTTTTACTGAAAGGGTTACTATCTTTACTCATAAAGGGCTGGTGCTAGAAAGACATGAAACCCAGAAGTTATCAAGAAAATGATAAACAGAGCCAACTCTATAAAAATAAAATCTTTTTGTGTGGTGAAAGGAATCAAAGAAATTTAAAAGACAAACAAACTGATTGGAATTAAGTATAATTTATATTGTAGACAAAGAGTAATATCTATCATATACAAAGAGTTCCTGCAAACAAATAAGAAAATAACAGCAATCCAATAGTAAAATGGGTTAGATATATGGTTAGGTATTTCAGGAAGAAATATGACAAATGGCCAATAAATAGATGAAGAAAGCTTAAGCCCACTAGTAACAACAAAAATTAGAATATGTGAAGAAACTACTTTTTGCCCAACAGATTTACTAAACTAAAAAATTGATAATATCCAGTGATGGAGTGGACATGGAGAATGCTGTTAGAGGGAATTTAAATTGATGTCACTTAGAGGGGGCAATTTAGTAATATGTATCAAAATATAAAGTATGTATATTCTATGTTCCAGCGATTCCACCTGTAAAAATCCATTCTACAAAATTACTAGCACATGCATGCAAAGATATGTTTGTAATGTTATTCCTTAAAGAATTTCCAATAATACAAAAATATTAGAAACCACTTAAATGTCCTTCAGAAGAATTATGATTGAATAAATTGTGATCTATCTATACTCTGGAATACTATAGCACTATTAAAAAAAATAAAGTAGACCTGTATTACTGACATAGAATCTATAATATACTCTCTAATATAAAAAGTAAAATTTAAAACAATACATACTAGATAAACCCACTTGTGTTTCTGAACAATGCTGTGTGCAAATGGGCTTAATAGTCCAAAATTATTCATGTGCTTTTAAAAAAACTTCTGATCTTTGCTAGGTCGGCCAGGGAACATCCATCTGCCTATAAGGAATTAGGAACATTATAGAAGAAATAAAAAGAGAAAGGCAAATTTGGCTTCGGACACTCAAAAACAGGATTTTGCAGCCAGACAATAGCCAACATCCCGTAGCTCCTATTTATCAATGAAAGATTTGGCCATGTGAGTGGAGGTGGGAAGAAGGATGTGACAACGGGGAGAGCCTGCCCCAAGGATGGAGGGGGAGAGAAAGGCAATGAGCGCAGTGAGCCAGAGAGGCGTGAGGGCTTCAGTTCCCACCTTTGGGGGCCTGTCTCGGAAGAGGGGTGTCAGTTAGTTAAGGGTGTTAGTCAAGGGATGTTCTCAGTAACAACGGGAAGATATGGCCTCCACTCCCCATTTCGCCTGAGGATGCCACCCGAAAACAGGGGCTGTGATGGCCAGTCTCCAAGATGACCCCCATGTTCACCTCCTCCAGTGGTCCCCGTTGGGAGACAATTCTGGAGCTTGCTATGAACTGAACTGTATCTGACCAAAATTCACGTGTTAGAGCCCTGACCCCCAATGTGGCTGAATTTGAGATGGGACCGTGGGGAGATAACAGGTTAAAGGAGGTTGTCAGGGTGGGACCCTAATCCCACAGGACTGGTGGCTTTACTTGAGACCTCTCTTACAAGAGATCTCTCTCTTTCTCTCTCTCTGCCACGTGAGAACACAGTGAGAGGGTGGCCACCTGCAAGCCAAAGAAAGAGCCTTCACTGGGAACCGAATTGGCCAGCACCTTGATCCAGTCTCTGGAATGGTGAGAAATAAACCTCAGTTGTTGAAGCCACTTCATCTACGGTATCGTGTCATGGCAGCCTGAGCTGAGTAAGACAGACCTCTCACTTTTCGGCATGACTTGTGAGCAAGGCACTGACTGTCCTTTCTTCTGGGCTCTCTTGTCAAGGATATTTGTGTGGCAATCTGCCTTGGAAGACAGACATAGCATCTCCCTCTGGGGCAAAGAGCAGGCATGCTACTGCCCATTATGGAGGATTTGGGCTCCCCAAGCTCAGAGTTCCTTTCCTATAATACAACCCACTATGTGGGCAGTGATTTCTAGCCCTCCTCATCTTGATCCACGTGAATTGGGGCTGAGCGAAAAAAAATGCTGGTCCTCTGGCTACTGTTATTGCTGTGAGTAACAAACTGTCCTCTGTGTCTGACCCAGGAGTCTCATGTCTTCTGCCAGCATCCAGGAGGCAGGCTGACTCCTTGGCTTGCGAGTAGGGTAAAATCTCAGACCCTGCACAGCTCTTGAGAGTCCTCCCCTAAACTAAATCAAGGCTGACGCTCGGGGTCAACAGAATACTGCAGAAGTGATGTTATATGACTTTAAGACTAAGTCGTAAATGACGATATAACTTCTGCCTGGTTTTCCTGGGATGCTCATTCTCGGATCCCGGTCACCATGCTGTGGGGAAGCTCAAGTTGCCCTGTGGAGAGACCCACATAGCGAGGAACAGACTGCCCTCACCAGTTTGTTAGAAATGTGAGTGAGCCAACTTGGAAGTGGATCCGCCAGCCCCAGTCAAACCTTCAGATAACAGCAGCCCTCCAACATCGTACTGAAATCTCAGGAGTCACTCAGCCAGAATTGCCGAGCTAAGCCACCCCTAAATTTCTGACTCAGAGAAACCATGACAGATATTGAATGACTACTGTTGTTCTAAGCCATTGCATTTGGGGATGATTTATTACGCAGCAAAGATAACTATTACATGAGACGCAGGCCTCAGCCCCTTTGTAGCAGGGTTATCCAGCAGAGGGAGACTCTGAGATTTCCTGAGCTCCCAGGTGGTGTGGAAGTTGAAGTGAGTGCTGGCAGACCTGCCACTCTGGCCTCTGAGCCTCAGTTTCCCCACCTATAAAGTCTGTGTGAGGGGGTACTAATGTTACCTCCTTCCTAGGATTGTGGTAAATATTCACTGAGATAATCCAGGTAAAGTCCTCGGCACGGGGTCTGACATGAAGTCAGTGTTCACTTTCTATATAATAATCTCTATCATGAGCATGTATTGCTTTAGTTTAATTATTTTGAGAGATTAAAAATTTAGAAAAATCAGAAGAATGGCATAATAATCACTCATAATCACAACACCTAGATTAACAACAAATAACTTTTTTGTCACGTCTGCTTCCATTCTTTTTAAGTTACACAGTCCTACCTGCATATGTTCTCCCTTTGAGAAATGAACCCAAACATCGCAGACGAAGCCAAGATCTTCCCAATCTCTCCCCAAGGCCCAGTCTTGTCTCCTTCCCGCCATACAGGCCTCAGCAGGAGTGTAGCGTGTTTACTTCTGGTCCAGTCTTTCCCCCAGAGCTGGGTGATGGATGGCCACATCCACCAAGCCCCCGAGAGTCAGGCACACCAGGGACGGTGCAGGTGCAGAGGTGCCTGGAGAGAAAGGCAGCAGGAGGGGAGCAGAGGAGAGACAAGAGCCACCAGGCAAGAGAAACCCCAAGAAGGAGGCCCCAGGAGCTACCCCGGAAGACAGGGAGTTTGAGGCTGTGTCAGGTGGATGATGGGCTGTGGGAGCTGCCATGGCTTCCTGACATTGGGCTAGTCACCGTCAGCTGCACACAGTCACAGGGCCACTTGTGATGTCACCTGCCCAGTTAGCCCCACCTCCCAGCGTCACCAATGCAGTCACAGAGTCATACACAGTGTCACCTGCAGAGTCAGCCCCAACACCCCTTGTCAAACCAACACACACAGTGTCACTTGCACATAGTGAGGTCCACTATGAACAGCCAACACTCACTCATGGTGTCACCTGCACACAGCCAAGCAGTGTCCCCAGCTCAGACGCACACGATCCCAGTCACCTGCGTGGGTGACAACCAGCCACACACGGTGATTTGCTGTCCATACTGCATCAGTTGCGCCATGTGGTGTGACATCACACACAATGTCACCAGCCGCATGCAGACCCCTCCCCCCCGCAGAGCCCCGCCCCCGGGCCTCATTACACACTGCGCTGCGCAGTCCGGCCCGGGGTCTGGGCTGGGGTGGGCCAGGGCCCTGCCTCTGCCAGCAGGACCACCATTCAGGCTCCGTCTCAGGGAGCTGAGGAGGCCAGGGCGAAGCAGAGCAAAAGCAGAGAAAAGGCTTTGTTCTTTGTGGGCAGGTCATTAAGGGGAGCTGGAGCCCCTCTGCCAGCCCCTCCCCTCCAACAAAGGAACAAAACAGCAGCTATTTTTAGATTTGTGTCAACCTCTCCCTCAGACCCTGGGGTGGGGAGTCCCGTGAGAGAGCCATTTGTGAGGGCTCTAATGAGCGGCAGCAGCCGCGCAGCCCAGCTCTCCAGGCAGCTGTCCCCCATCTCTGCCAGGGGAGGAGCGAGCCCCGGATGCTCCCGAGACAAAGAGGAGGCCGAGACAATGAGAACAATGGCTGGGCTCCCGGGATGCCTGCTTCTCGGGGAGCACCCCCTACTCTTTGGAAGAAGGTCCCATTGGGCACAGGCATGGCGTCAGGACATTCCCTCCTTTGTTGAACCCACAGACACCTCACAGGCCCGATTTCCCGAAGGAGCCGACCTGAGAAGACGACTTGCCTGGAAGCACATGGGCTCTTTCTAGGACACAAACCTCATAGGATGGGCAGCTTTGGAATCATCCAGACCTAAAAACGAGTCTCAGCTCTGCCCCTCACAGCTGCGTGGCCTCGGGCCTCAGTCTCCTCACCTGGAAAATGGGGACGATAATTCTCACCTCCCAGGATTGTCATGAGGAGTCTGGGAGATAAGAACTGGGCACATAGTAGGTCCTCAACCAGCCCAGGAGCCCCGGACTATGTGAGCTCCTCGCAGAGCAAGGGCCTTGTCTTGTTCAAAGCTGGGCTGGAAAACCCATCACACTGTGTGGCATGCGGTAGGTGCTCAATAAACTTTGTTGAGGAGGTTACTGAAGGGTCCTTACCAGCCCTCTGCCCTATAGGCTTCCCCTAACTTGAGTCACCCTCTTCCTAAGCCCTGCTCCTAGTGTCCCCCCGGAAAGAAATATGCCCGGCCCCTGGTCCGCGGGAGAGTCAGCCTCGCAGGGCCGGGAGCCCCGTGCTGCAATGACAGGGCCTGGCCACCAGGGGGCGCAGCCTCTTAAGGTTTCCGCACCAGCCCGAGTCCTTCCAGCCGCTCAGGGGCCTGGAGGGCTGGAGACGGTACCGCCCACCAGGCGGAGGACCTGTCCACCCTCTCAGGCCAATATCGTGGGGCCGCTCTCCTTCTCCTTAAGTGCCGTGGAGCAGCAGCGTTACAACCCAGCCTGTCATCTCGCAATGGTTAGAAAGAAGCACTCCTTCAGGTCCGACCTGCCGCTCCCACTTTCCAGTGTCCTGTCCTCACAGACTATGGAGACCCATTGTTCCCCAATACTTGCCCCCAAAACTGTTCCCTGTTCTGTCACCCTTGTCCCCAGTCAGAGAAGCCTAGGCCATCAGAGCCAGAGGGTCCTCGAGTTGATCTGAGTATCTCTCACTCCATTTTACAGATGGGAAAGCTGAGGCCTAGGGAACAGAATCGTTGTCTCGGGGTGCACAGTGAGGAGGTAGCTGGGCCAAGACCAAAACATCGATCCCCTTTTTCGTCTTGTGCCATCTCACGCATGAACTGTTTTACTGTTGTTCTAGGAGAAGGAAAAAAAAGAGGAGGAAAAGGATCTTTGAGACCCTCTTATTCCGTTCTACATCTCTGGCCTTCCTCTGTACCTGCATGATTTCATAGAATCCTCTATCCAACCCCTTGAATAGGAAGTTATCTCCATTTGTGGATGAGGAAAGGGAGGCCTGGTGAGGCTGCCCGAAGTTTCACAGCTAAGAAACAGCAGCACTGGTATTTGTCCCCAGGACTGTCAGATTCCAACCCACATTCTTTCTGTAGCATTAGGTTGAATCATATAAAATTGCCTTTCCCATAGATCAAAGTTTTTCCAATATTTGGTATGCTTAAGCTTAATACTATGCCAAGGAGACTCCCTTATCTTGAAGGACGGAGCCACTATGTGGAATATGCTGGGGGCAGTGGGGAAGGGGGGGAAGATTTCTTTGGGAGCAAAACACCCCAAGGTGATGGCTGCTGCTAGAGAGATTGTCCCCTCCAAGCCCAAAGCCCAGAGCGGGGTTCTGGAATGGCCAGATGGCTCTAGAGGCCCGAGTTCAAGGACTTCTGGCTGCGGAGGTGTCATGCACTTTGTGCAAGAGGAGATTCGAGGGAGGGTCTTGAGGGCAGATGTGGCTTTTCCGGCTATGTCAGGGAGGCCCTTGGAAGAGAGACAAACCCACATGGTACAAATTTAGAATGTCACAGAATGCCATGGACTATCATGGCTAGAAGGCCATAGAGTGCTGTTGAATGTCAAGGAATGTCGTAAAATGCTCTGGAATGTCAAAGACTGTCACAGGACATCGTGAATTCTTGCAAATGTCATAAATTGTTGTAAATGTCAGAAGCTGTCATAGAACGCTGTAGATGGTTGTAAATGTCATCGAATGTCAAGGACCACCTTCCAGTGTCATCAGAGAATGCTGTAGATGGCTGTAAATGTCACGGAATGACTTAGAACACTGTCCCAAACCATGGTAGGCTGTTATAGAATGTCAGCATCACAGAATGTCATGGAAAGTCGGAGCCAGTTGGAAGGGACTTTGGGGCTCTTCCAGGTCCAGCTGCTCATTTCGCAGATGGGAAAACTGAGGCCCAGAGAGGAGAAGGGCCTTGTGTAATGAAGCTCACGCCAACAGTCATTAGCAGATGCATATTCAGCATCTGGGTCTCTGGACTCCCAGCCCAAGCAGCCTCCCTTGGCTGAGGCTCGTGGGGACTAATTAACCCTGTGATGGAAACAGTAGTGCCCCAGTGGGTATTCAGCTAAACTCCCAATTCGGGCTGGCACTAGCCCTATGCCAGGAAGGGGAATTAACTCCGCATGTAGGGCTTTCTGGCCTGGAAAGCAAAATAATGAGTTCTTTGCACAGAAACCAACAGCAGTCCTGCCTTGCAACAGAGAGGGGGTGAGTGTGTTGCGGGATCCCTCAGAGGCCTCTCCCGGGACCTGTGCCAGAAAAGGTGCCCCCAGGCTGTCCCGGGAGCCACTCCTTGCACAGCCAAGGACTCAGAGGTGCCCAGTCTTGTAGACAACTCTTGGCAGAGGCCCTGGGGCCTAGGAGGCTGGGTGTGGATCTGAGAGGTGGGGGAACAAGAGAGGGACCCTGGGAGGGTCTTTCCAGCCAGATGTCAGGCAGGCAGGAAGGACATTCCTTTGGCTAAGCTGATTGCAGTGAGTGGAATGGAAGTTAACAATAAGGACCCAAAGAGTCCGTTTGCTGTCTTGGCAGGTTTCTGGATAAGGAGTCACAGACGCGAGCAAGATGGCAAGATGAAAGTGTCTTCAGGAGGTGGTCTTCCTTGGCCTCTGTACCCAACAGGAGACTCGATCCAGGAGAAGACATTCCCCTCCTTTTGTCCCCAAGCCCCAAGTTCCTCCCCTCTCTCTCCCCCACTCTTCTTCCCCATGTAACGATCCCCACCCAGCACTAGCCTGTCCCTCTCCCGCCTCTTGGGCAGGCCCCATCGTCCTGCGAACCACCCTACAGTTTCTCTGATCCACACAAATGAACAGAGCTCCACAGCTTCCGGCCCTAAAAGGGGAAGTGAAACGGGGAGATCCCAGGGGTCTGCCCACAGCCTCGTGGATGCAGAATCCCCTTCCCCTGGCTGCTGGTCTAGGGACCTTTCCAGGTTCGGAGCCCAGAGCCAACCCAGGGTGTCCCCAGCCGTGAGGGGAGAGTTGGCAGCAGCACTGAGCCGGCTTGCTGGGGAGGGTCCCTCTGGCAGGCTCCAGGGCTGGTCCCAGCAGACCACAGCCACCATCCCAGCTGAGCGGGGGTGGGGTTGGGGGGCGGGGATGAGGACAGGGACAACTTTCCCCTCAGGGCTGGGCTGGCAGTGATTCAGAGTGTTGGGCACCTGCCCTCTTAGCAAAGCCTTCCCCTCTCTCTGGAAGTTTGCTCCCTGCAGCTGTAAAAATAACAAGGTCCCAGCTGAACCTGGTGGCAGAGCTAAGGTCAGGAAGGGACACAAAGAAAGAAAGTGCAGGAGGAAGAAGAGATGAAGGGGCTCAGGCAGGGCAGGCCATGGTCCTGGGTGGTCTGAGGGTAGTCAGGAACCAAGCAGGACCATAGGGGAGAAGTGGGGTTGGCCCCTCTCTTGTCCATATTAATGAAGCTTTTCTAGCAGTGCATGCCCACTTGTGTTGCTGGAGACTGTACGTTTGTGTGTGGACACGTGCTCAGGTGTGTGTTCTCGCCCCATGGGGTTCTGTGTATGCTTGCATGATGGGTGTCTGTGGGCATTCTGCATGTTCTAGTGTAGACATGAGTGTGAATCTGGATGTGTTTCCATGTGAGTGGGTGTGACCGTGTGTGCACGTGTGTGTACCTTAATATGAAGATGGTGGTCTCAGCATCGGCTGTAAGAGGATCTGGTTTAGAAGACAGCGGGGAGTAGCGTTTAAGAGCTCTGCCTAGACTCAGAAAGATCTGGGTTCAAATCCTGCTGGTGGCATCTTGAGCAGTGATTTAGCCTCTCTGAA